AATAAAAATAATTTAATTTTGATAGGTTATATTATATTATATAAGGTACATATTTTATACCTTATTATATGAGTAAAATAAGAAATTATATTTTATACTAAAAAAAGATATATATTAAATATGACAAAAATATAATATCTTTAATCATTTTAGTTTTATTAGTTGAAAAAAATAAAAATAATTTAATTTTGATAGGTTATATTATATTATATAAGGTACATATTGATATGAAAAGGACATCATGTATTTAATTATTTTTAATAAGTAATTTATTCTATAAAAAATAAATATAATTTATTATTAGCAAACTATATAACACGTTAGTTGAAAGAATTTTTTTCTTCAAAAAAAGAAACCATAAAGTTAAGTATATGCTCATAGAGTTTGGCAAAACAAAAAAAGAAAATACAAAAATTATAAATGATACTTTAAAATAATGATTAATATATTTTTATGTTATTGTATTCTGAAAAATTAAGTTAATTAAATTTAAATTGAAATTGTTATAAAAAAGTAAATTTTCATGAAAATTTGATTGTTGAATTATATATTTTTATTATTATAAATATGCTCTTTTCTTAACAAGTTATTTAATCATTATTTTTTATTATTTTATAAATTTTTTTTATTTTTTAAATGATCTTAGAATTTTGATAATATAAATTATAACTTATAAAAAAATTAATAGAAAATTATATATATAAAAATTAAATTACATTTGATTGGTTATATTGGTTTCCTACGAAAAATCTAAATATTATTGACTAAAAAATTAAAAAAAATACTTCCTATGTTAATAAACATTTTGTTACCTTAAAATTACTTATACATTACTTCCTGTTTAAATAAAATACATTATTTTAATTGGCACATATTTCTCAATTAAATTAATTTTAAATTTTCTTATATATATGGTAACAAATAAATATATAGATTATTAACTATAAAGTCAATAATAAATATTTTTTTAATTTAATATATACTTCCTTATAAAGAATCTAAATTGATAAGTTTTTTTTTCTAATTTTAATTAGAAATTATAAGTTTACTTCATATTGGAAAAGAAAATTTGCCAACGTGGAAGAATTCTCTTTTTATTATTGTTAATTATTGAGGCACTAATTTTAATACAGTACCAAAAAAAGTTTTTGATAATATAATCACCGGTATCCAAAAGTCCACTGGACTCGATTACGTCTGGTTTGAGTACTGCAGGGCCCATATAGAGGGCAACTCTCCTAACGTGGCAACTTAGGGTTTATTCGGCAGTACTAGCTGTTCTAGTAGCTGTTAGCTGATTTAATAGTTTTTAGCTGTTAGCTATTTAAATAGTGGTTGAAAGTGAAAATGTTCAATAAGAACAATTATTTGATTGACAATAAATTTTAAAATGACAAAAAAGACATTGAAATATTCACCTAGAATTTTAAATTAACAATTCACTAAAAAAAATAATTTCACTGTACTTAAATTTTCAAAACTTAAGAGAGCAAAAATTGAAAAGTTCACTATTTTATAAATAAAATGGAAAATTTTTCAATATTGTAGGGATCAACATTTTTAATATTTAATATTTTTTTGAGTTTAAATACAAATATATAAATAATATTTTTTTCTTTTACTATCAAATATAAATAAGCCAAATATAAAGATAATAAAACACCTAATATGATAATATAAAGATTTTATATTAATTAAGAATAAAGATAAGATTGTAAAGAAAATTAATAAAAAAAGTGAAACCTAAAGGATAAGGATAAGGATAACATTTTAGAAAACACTTTATAAATTTCTGAAAGTTGTTCTGTATATCAAGTTACTGAATAAAGTAATTTAGAGAAACAGTGTTTTGATTAGTTCAAAATACCAAACGCTACTGCCAAACACGCTTTTAACCAAAGGTTAAAGGAGAAGGAGTCTTGACCATTTCATTCCAATCAATATTGACCTATCAAAAAATATTTTTTTGCATCCCTTTCACCATTGAATTTGGTTTTATTTTTTTCGCTACATTTTTGTACAAATTAAAAATACCCTAAAGGATCTAACTTAATTAAAAATCCTAGCCAAGTAATATATCATCCTTTGCACTCATTGAATTTGGTTTTTATTTTTTTTCGGACTACATTTTGTACAAATTAAGAAGAATACCGCGCCCGCCCCCCACTATAGGATAATAACTTAATTAAAAATCCTAGCCAAGTAATAATATATCATATATAAATAATAGTAATATAGTAGCATATATAATATATGTATATATCTTTTTTTATATATCTTTTTTTTATTTTATTTTAAAAAGAAAATAATTGTTGCCAATATTTTTTTTTTATTTTGAGAAAGCCTCAAAAAAATTGAAAATATTCTATGAAAAGGAAAAATAATAACTATCGAGAATAATAACTAAAAGAAGAAAAAGAAGACCAAAATAGTGGTATTAAATAAAAAATAATAGGAAATTATATATAAAATATTATATGAACGTGCAATAGTACAAATAACATGCTGTGCATGTGAATATAAATTTTAATATTAGTCTATATATATAGCTCTAATTTATGTATTTAATATATATACGGCGCTCTACATTTATGTATTTAATATATATATATATATAGTGCATTACAATATATATAATAGGATTCTCGAATTGCTCCGTAATTAAACTTGTTGGCTAGGATTTTTATTTGTGGATGTATGTATTGAGAAAGAGCAGATAATTAGACTGTGGGGGGTGTGCGCAAAATTATATATATATATAACAATCTGAATTGCGAATTAACTTTTTGCTAGATTTAATTGTGGATGTATGTATTGGAAAAAGAATAATTACTGGGGTGCGCAAAATTACCACCGAACCGACTCATTTCGGTTCAATTAGGTCAAATGTCCAAAAGAGGTTTGGTTGATCAATTCATTCAGTTTGAACCAAATTTGTTGTTCGGTTTAATTTTGTTGCACAAAAATTCGGCGGTTGGGCTTAAAATCAAACCGAAATGGTATAACCAATAAAAATAGATCGAACCAATAGATTTGGTTCAATTGATTTGATTCATTTACAAACTTTGATCTGGTTCGATTTGTTGTAAAGAAATTTTGTTTATATTTTATGGCTTCGATTCGATTTAGTTTGAACCTAACCATTTGCTCGCTCAGCCATAATACTGTTAGATAAAGTTAGAGTTTATTTAGGATTCCAATATTAATATATTACTTTTTTTTATATTTTTTGTTATTATATATTATCAATATCTAATATTAAAACTATCTTGTAATTCAACGAGCACAATACAACAATCATTAATAATGCTCGATATCTTTACATATATTTATTATTTTATTATTTGATTTAATTCTTATAAAAATTATATTTACAATCAAATATATAGTATTTATTTATTTATTTTGCTAACAATAAGGAGAGAAACAAGAACTATCTAAAATAACTAATGTCACAAGCATCGGGCCAAATAATCAGAGGAATAGAAGCAGGGCAACATCTAGACATGTAGACAGGATGACAAAAAAATTTAAGTTTAAATAAGGAAGTAATATAACCAATTAAAATAAATTATATTCATTTTTCAACCAATAAAATTAATATCATTATAATAAAAAAAATTCATAAATAAGTAGACATTATATACAGGGGTAAGCAAATTTTGAAAAAAATAAAATCAAATTATTTTCGGTTTTTAGTTCGGTTATTCGGTTTCGACTTCCATAATTTTCGTTTTCGGCCATTAGATCAGTTATTCCAAAATATTTATTTTATGAGTAAAATCGAACCGTTTGACCAAATCGATACCTATCGAACCGACCAATTTGGTTCAAGTTTCGAATTTATTTCAATTTGCTTCGGTTTCAAATAATATGGTTTTTAAATTTTTGGTTCTTATAGTTCCATTCGGTTCGAAACTGAACTGTCGATTTGCAAACCCTTAATTTTATACGATTAAAATTTCTTTACATATGAAAATAATAATTTTCCCAAAAAAAAAAAATCTTTACATATATTTATTATTTTATTTTTTTAATTTAATTCTTAAATAAGAATATATTTAGAATTCAATATATAATATTTAATTATATTTTTTAGCCAATAAAATTTAAGTTTAAATAGGGAAGCAGTATAACCAATCAAAATAAAAAATTATCTTTATATTTTTTTTTTCAATCAATAAAATTAAAATAGATAGATGGTATTGAAAGTAGGTTATATATTGAGATGACGTTGCCTCGCCCACCTGGGGAAAGATGTATGGGTTTTATTGGGTTCAATGATTGGAAGCATATAAAGCAACTACTCTATATGTATACGTATATTTTGAGTAAATAAATATTTTTGCATTAAAATCATTAGTAAACTTAGTGGATTCTTAATAAGATAATATTCTCTTTTTTCGTGTACTTTTTATTGCTAGTGGTCACATTCCATATTTGCACTAATACCACTAAATGCATTATGTGCCCCAATGAAAATTTCCATATGACAATTAAAATTTTTTATTTTAGATAAATCACAAGTTCGATTGATGGTCTAAATAGAAAATATAAATTATTATTTATTTATATAATTATTTTTATCGACTGTTTGTCATTGCTTGATACTTTTTCTATTGTACTGAAATCAGTAATTGAGTTGATGATTTTAGTGCAATTCTCTTTTTTCTTAGAAAGAAAAATATTAAATTAGTAAATAGTTTTGATTTGTGATTAGATTTTTAGCAACACTATTTTTGTTCGTCAACCAGATATGTGTATATATAAGTAAAAAAAAAAAAAAAAATAAAAAATTAATAATGCAAGATCATAACAAGAAAAAAAAAAAAAAAAATTATAATGCAAGATCATAACAGTGAACACTGCACACTCATTGCACATGATGTGGCGCCAACTCATCTTAGTTATTTTTCCTTATACGTTGATTTCTTTTCGGATAACTTGTGATTTAGTTTGTCGTTTTTTTTTTCTTTCCTTTTATACTTTGTCTCAAATAAAAATGAAATATATAAATAATAAATGGGTGAAATGGAAAAATCTCCATCCAGCTCTATAAATAAGCTTCTGAAACCATTCACTCTCACTCACTCCTACCATTAGCATTTTCTCCTTCTCTCTCTAATCTCTCTGCTGAAGATGAGAGGAGGCTCATGGCAGTTGCCATTGTTCATATGTATGCTTACTGTACTGTGCATGGCGGATGCAGCGGAGGTTGACGGCGGAGATTGGCGGCAACCAGAGAAGATAAAGTTTGACACCGGAGGGCTGAGTCGACAGAGCTTTCCGGCGGGATTTTTGTTTGGAACGGCGACTTCGGCTTATCAAGTTGAAGGCATGGCCGACAAGGACGGTCGTGGCCCCAGCATTTGGGATGAGTTTGTTAAAATCCCTGGTAATTTAATTTAATTTCAATTACAATTAATAGCATATAATATTACAATTATTAAGAAATTATGTTCGGTGATTGGATATTATGGTGACATATATGGCACAAGAAAAGAAACTAATCTTATCTTATCTTTTTCTAATCTAATTATAATAAATTTCATAATTACTTGAACAAAACTAATTTGAGGGTGCGTTTGGAATTTTCCACTTGAATTTGAGGGTATATTTGGAATACAATTTTATTGCCAGAAATGTATGTCGGTGTGACAAAATTTTTGTGCTGACAAAAAAAAATTGTGTTAGCTACTATGACTTGGTGCACAAATTTTTTTTAAAAATTTTTTGGTCAAAATAACACTAAATAATATATAGTTTTTTTAATTTATTGGTCGAACTAATACGGTATGAGCTATACAATTGGGCTAAGCTTTCTCTTAGTTTACTAAATTAATGAAAATTTTTAATCAAGAGAATTCAAACTTGAGATCTCCCTCGTGAAAGTATCAATTAAATCACACCTAATGGGTAGTGCACAAAATATTTTCACTCGAGCTTGAGAAAGAATTAATTTAAGCTATTTTTTCTAAAAAAAAAAAAATTTCCATGACTTGAACCAACCAGATGGGTGATTTGAAAATTATTTTGAGAATTATAGTTTAATTGTAAAAATTAAAATTATTTAATAAATTTTTGAATTTATGTAATTTAAGAATATTGCAGATGTATTTCTGTATTTTAGTAATATAATAATAATATGATATTGTATGACATGTGATTATCACGTGGGAACAGGGATTGTTGCCAATAATGCGACGGGAGAGGTTTCAGTGGACCAATATCACCGCTACAAAGTATGTACTCATCCTTGTCTCATATTCTGTTTATCATATACTAGATATGATTCTGCAATATATGGTCCTTGGTCGTCCATGGATGTTGCTTTGGATTATGTGCACACTAAAATATTATGAGCCTGTGAACTGTCTCATACACTAACTTACTAAATTAATGAGTAATTTATACTTTCTGAAAATAATTTATTATAGAGATTTTTTCCATTTTTTTATGAAAAAACTGGTGCCAATTTTTCTTCACTTCATATCATCACATTGACTGAATAAGCAAAACTTACAAAATCTCTAATCATTCGGTTGGTTCAATTCAAATCAAAATTGAATTTTTATATAGAAAAAATAAACTGAATTTTTGGTTCAATTTGTCAGGTTCGACTTATTTCTATGTTCTTCACTTTCATATAATAAATCGAGTGAAACCAAAACATTTTGATTTTTTATAAAGACTGAAAACCAAACCAAATGCGTTTAAAATCTAACCAAACCAGTAGGTTCGATTTTTTGGTTTGACCCAAATTTTGTCCACATGTTTGTCTATCTCTCAAATATTCCCTAGTTCTGCACACCAAAGTTGACTTCTCTAGTGTGCGATAAGATTAAAGACCAATCAATTTACACAGTTTAAGTGAGGCAACAACTTTTTTGCTTTTACCTGAACAAAAATGGTTATGGCAAATAATGCCAGCCAATTAAGGGATTCACCAATTAAGGAAAATAATACCATTGTGAGGCTGGTTAGCTGGCTAGGCTCAAATTCTGATTCTGGTGAAGTGAAACGAGAAAGAAACTTGCTAAAAATAAGTAGATGGTGACTGAACCAATCATTTATAATTGATTGTCTATTTTCAAAAAAAAAAAAATTATAATTGGTTGTCTGCAATACTGGAATATAAAAATACTGTATAAGGAAAATTTGGAGCAACAAGAAGGCACGTTTATCTCACAAAAGCTTACCTTTAAAAGAAGAAATTTAAATTTTGCAATTATATGCAGTTGTACTAATTAACCTTAATCTGAACAAAGAAGCATGCCCAGAACTGTAGAGAACTTTTATTTATTTATTTTTGATTAATTATTCAAATTGTAAAGATGTTTGAATCTTAGGTTTTATTTCTTTTTTTTTGGCATATATTTAGAGGTGATGTAGACTATAGGATTCCAAAATATGATCTCAGGGCAGTCACTCAGACTGCTGGGCTACTAGTCAAATGGCCTAGCTGTTGTTTCTAAATAGGCTAACCTTCAGCCATTGGCTAACTTATTTACAAGGTTACTAAATTTTAGGATTTTTTTGATTAAATGGAATGGTTTTCTATAAGCTTTGGTTGCAAGGCTGCAGATGACAAGGTGGAATGTTTCTTTGATGGGTCACACTTCTTCTCATGTTACAGGAAGATGTGGATCTCATGGCAAAATTAAACTTTGATGCTTATCGGTTCTCAATTTCATGGTCTAGAATTTTCCCAGGTAGTTAACTCTTCTTGTTTCCCTGTTCTTGCTTTAACCTTTTTAAAGCGCATGATGCTTATATATGTGAAATATTTTTGTCTTGGCCTAATCTTTGACTTGAATTTAGATGGAACTGGAAAAGTGAATTGGAAGGGTGTTGCATACTACAATCGATTAATTGACTACATGCTCAAAAAAGGTTTAGCTCCAAATGAAAATCTTAGTGATTTATATATATATGTCTCAGTAGCAATATTATATTATATACTTTTTGTTTTGCAGGCATCACTCCGTATGCAAATCTCTATCACTATGATCTTCCCCTTGCACTTGAGAAGAAGTATAAGGGACTGTTGGGTCGCCAAGTAGTGTACGTATTTTTATCTTTTTAGAGAATTGAAGGTGATTACATTGCAGCATTGAGCAAACCATCTCTAGCTTGTTTGGTATAAATGACTTCCATAAAGGTTTCTCGAATTCATTTGGAATTTCTTGTTTTTACCTTTGCGATGACTGAAACTATTCATTTTATTGATATCTTATGAAATCCAATACATCTAAATCAAATTCTACAATTTTCAAATGAAATTCAACTGCATTTATATCTCAGACAAGGGATAAGAGTTGGATTTTACAATTCTACAGGAAAGATTTTGCAGATTATGCAGACTTTTGTTTCAAGACCTTTGGTGATCGAGTAAAGAACTGGATGACATTCAATGAACCTAGAGTAGTGGCTGCACTTGGATATGATAATGGTTACTTTGCTCCTGGGAGATGCTCCAAAGCCTTTGGAAATTGTACAGCTGGAAATTCTGCAACTGAGCCTTATATTGTTGCACATAATTTGATTTTATCTCATGCAGCTGCAGTTCAGAGATATCGTGAAAAATATCAAGTTAGCACCTATTCCTTTTTGTTTTCGATTTAGATGATATTCATTTGATTTCTTGGAATCTGTTAATTTTGTGTTTATTGATAAATAAGTAAATTGCAGGAAAAGCAAAAGGGAAGGATAGGAATTCTCTTAGATTTTGTTTGGTATGAACCTCTCACCAGATCAAAAGCTGACAACTATGCTGCTCAAAGAGCAAGAGACTTTCATGTGGGATGGTAAGCCTTTTTTTTTCTTTGCCTTAATGCTTGAAACTTGAAAAAACATTTAAATAAATATTTATGAAGTTGATATGCTTCTAATGATAATTATTACCTGATTAGACACCACTAATTAAATATTGTTGCAAAAGAATAGAACTTGAAGAGCATGGTTTTAAATATCGACCATAGCTTAGCATACTGACACAGTCATCATGGTGAGTCGTCACGACAGTGATACATTGACTAGGCTGATACCGGAACTTTTCTAAACACATGCACGATAATGTCAACCGTGACTATGTAACTTTGGCGATGACCGCATTCTTGCAAGATGACTTGAAGTTGATGTATATTTTTTAATATTTTTCATGAATTTCATAAAATAGCAGGGAGAGGGAATTCCAGTTGCATTATGTAAATTCATAAAAAAAATGTCAATAACTGTATTTTCGCATAATGCTGCAGGTTTATTCATCCCATTGTTTATGGTGAGTATCCAAAAACAATGCAAAATATTGTTGGTAACAGGCTACCCAAGTTCACACAAGAAGAGATTAAGATAGTGAAGGGCTCAATAGATTATGTTGGTATCAACCAATATACTACTTACTATATGTATGATCCTCATCAATCAAAACCCAAGGACTTGGGCTACCAGCAAGACTGGAATGCTGGATTTGCTTGTAAGGAACTTTTTTTTTCTTTTCCTCTTTTTCGATAAATATAATATACATAATTAGTAATATAATTCCATGTGCATATATATATATATATATATATATTTAGTAATATAATTCCATGTGCATATTATATAATATAATATATATATATAATAGCTCCTTTGGTTGCTTAAAGTTGTTTCTTGTTATATATATATATATATATATGCTCCTTTGGTTGCTTAAAGTTGTTTCTTGTGAATTTTGTAGATGAAAAGAATGGAGTGCAGATTGGTCCAAGGGTAATTTATGACCATCACAAGCAATTTTTAGAATATGATTTTCATTTTAGGCCATCTTATTGATTGAATATATGCAGGCAAACTCTTATTGGCTTTACAATGTACCATGGGGCTTGTACAAGGCTTTGATTTACATAAAAGAGCGATATGGTAATCCAACGGTCTTCTTATCTGAAAATGGTATGCATCAGATACTCATGTTCCTTCTATTTATTTTTATTTTATTTTTTATTAGTTAGGCTTCAACTTGAGCTTTAGAGCAGCAAGTCTAATCTTTAAGTCATCAAGCGAGTGAACGATTTATAAAATTAAGATATAATCATACATTATGGAAGCTTAATGAAATATAATGAAATATATTTCTTGTATAAACATTAAAATTAGAAATACTTTCGAATACACTACATTACAACTTACTAAATGTAACTCCAAATTTAATGAGTGCAAAATACCTGCGTTGGAGAAGAACTCAATGCCACTAAGCGAAAGCTCAAAGACACTATTTGGTTATACTTTCACCAGGACTTGTGAGGTTTGTTTACTATGATTTTCATGCATACAGGCGTTGATGGATGGAGGGGGCCAGGGGTAGCACCCGCCCCCATCCCCGCCACCCTAACCAAAATTTTTTTAGAGAATTATCCTATAAAATATTGAAATTTTTTTATCTTATCCTTTAAAATAGTAAATCTTTTCAATTTTACCTTAACTATTGAATTTTTTTTTAACCCCTTTAACTTTAATTCTTGGTTCGTCACTGCATACAGGCATGGATGATCCTGGCAATGTCACACTTCCAAAGGGATTGCATGATACAACTAGAATCAACTACTACAGGAGCTATTTGACACAATTAAAGAAGGCAGTTGATGATGGAGCTAATGTGATCGGATATTTTGCTTGGTCATTGCTTGACAACTTTGAATGGAGATCCGGCTACACTTCAAGATTTGGCATTGTTTATGTTGATTACACCAACCTAAAGAGGTATCCGAAAATGTCTGCGTACTGGTTCAAGCAACTCATGGAGCGAAAGAAGCATTAGTCTCGATGAATTTCAGTTTTCCAGAGGATAATGGTTTTGTAGTGCTAATGTTTTATGATCTTCCATGCCCAATTATAAGGCTATGAATAGCTAATCTATTAAATAAAAGTAATCCATGTTTACAAGAACCTGTTTTATCTTTGGCCTAGTCACAAAATAACTTGCCGATGATGTATACTACTAGACCATGAAACTAAATTTTAAACTCAACTCCAGTCTCTAACTCCAAATTCAATAGCTATACCTTTCAAATTTTCACATTTTAATGTTTCTTTTCCATTCATTCGGACCTCGATGAAAAGATAACTTACAGAATGATAAACAATCATTGAAAGAAAAGGGGCTAATTATTAATAACTAAAAGATGGGAAAATTATTATTACCGCTCTAGGGATGAGGTGGGTACGAGGATAATTGCTAAGGATGTATTTAATATAAAATTTTAATTTGTATCCTTTGACCATCATTTTTGAGTTCCTCCATTCCATTCCATATATATAGGTCTAGTTTGCTTTCACATAGATAGACTAATTAATATAATTAAATTAATATTTTTTATTTAGTTTTTTTTTCAAAATATAATATTAAATAATAGATATCAATTGAGAATGTGAATGTACATTAAATAGAAATATATTAAGAAATTAAATAATAAATGATATTTTAAAAAAGAAAAGAAGCTAAGTTAATAATTTTTCCCTCAAGGAAAGAAAAATTACACGCGAGAAAAGAAATTCAAGATTGTATTCTGCTTATTATCTGCAGTCTTACAATCACATTTCTTTGGTTTTTCAAATTTGCTTCTAACTTTCCTATTGGAAATCTTTCTAGGCCTAGAATTCACACTTTCTTGAGATTCTTTAGTAACATACATTTCTACATCAATCACCTCTGATGCTTGTTCATCAGTGCTCTCTTTCTGATGCAAGTCTATTTCGATTTGTTTTCTTTTCTTGGAAGGACTATTGCCAGAATCATTTGATGGATCCCTATCAGGAGTTGAACATAATAAATTTGAGTTGTCATTCTCCAAAACAACTGAACGTGCTTCAGTAGTACTTTTTATTGCAAATGGGTTGTTAGGAATCTTTAGTGGAGCTTCATCAGGAAGCACAACTTTTTCTGTACTCGAAAGAATTTCTTGTGGCATAATTAGTTTCTGTAGTGTTATAGCTTCATTGATGTACTTCCTTTCGGTAACAACTGGATCCTCATTCATTGCCATACCTACAATCATGAAGTCATTAATGTAAAATATGCCAATCTCATCTCAGATATGAACCATTTTGTAATAGGTATAATGGATAAACAACTTGCCTGTAGTATCTTTTTCTCTGGCCTTACGTGAAGAAATGCTTATAAAGCAGCCTTTTCGCCTGGAAACCACAGTGGATTCATCTTTTTGGAGCATACAAGGATTTTGGATGACAATGGGATCTGGCTGACATTCAGAACTTGGAAAATAATCAAAGGCCTCCATGTTTGATGGATTCAAGTTTCCTTCAGCGATCGCAGTTGCTACTGAAGGGGGAAGCTCTCTGATATTATTGACAATGAGTCAAGGCAAGAACAATACACACCAGATACACACTGAATGAAATGCAGTTTTATAGCACAATAATCAAATACCATAAAATGCCCAAAATTTAGATTCTAAAGCCTAAAACTAGGAGTTACTTCTAATAATACCTTTGTAGATGTTACAAAATTTTTGAAACAGAATTAACTAAATAGAAATAGGATACGGTCCAAGGAAATCTAGCTGTCCATCCAAAGAATCCAGAAGATTTTGTGGAAGTGGTTTCATGTGTCTGAGTTTCTTCGTTTCGGCATCATATCTGTATAAATAAATAAATCAGAAACATAAGGTCAGGAATATTAAATTAGTCAATTTTGCAGTTGACTTACATTCTAGCATGCTGGAAAACTGCAAGCGCTTCTTTGAAAGATTTGGAGTAATCTTCAGGCATTTGACTGCCTTTCTCCAACTTCAGAACTGATAAAACCTGCAGACATTTGATCTTCAGACATAATTCTTCATAGTTGATTTATAAATGTTTCCAATAGAATAATCAATTGGCCACTTATTTTTCTAATAAACTAGCACATGTTGATGTTATGTTCAGCATTTGCATTTAGTCTCAAGCCACTCCGGTAGAGATACTAAAATAAACATGCCACTGCTTGTTAGAGAACAAGTATGCTAAACTTGATGAGCAAATAGACAAGAATTAAACCAAAAAAATTAAAGACTATTTGTATTGTTTTGTTATATTATATAGACATTGAAGAGAAGATCAAACTACTAGAGAATATATATGTATTAAAAAGCCATTACTCAGTTATATATCCCAGAAAGCTTGAAGGATGTTTTCATATATTTGCTCTTTATGAAATGTGATTAATTATATGGACATCTCAAAAGCCAGGAGTAAACTTACACGATCCAAGTTTCGATACTTAGAAACGTAGGAATGAGCCTTAACAATCCCAATCCCAGGAACAGATGGAAGGAAATCACAACCAGCTAAGACACACATACCTGTAAATATGACAAAACATGAGCCAATTTACAATCCAAACTTACTCGTACAACAGTGTTATCGTCTTCCCGTTTTCTTCCTTTCTTTGGTTCTTTTCTTCTTAGTTCAATTGCTTCTTTGTTTCTAAATGCACTATCTGCTTCTAGTTTGTAATATAAATTTCTAATAACATAATTGTTTTGAAAAATTTTTACAGAACCATCACCTATAAATAATTCCTTGTTGAAATATTTGAATGAAGGTTTGCAAGCCCCAGCATCAAAAACCTTGTCTAGAACCATCTCTTCACCATTACCATATCGATCCATCTTGAAAATGATCTGTTAGCAAGCAAAAAAAATCAAGACAAGACAATACCAATAGTTTCAATAATGAATTAGAACAACCGAGTGATCAGGAGAGCAATAAACCTCCATCTCCAACAAATCAAAGTTTCGTGGAAGTTCTTACAGCTTGGCAACCATATGCCAATAGATCACTATCCTCTGTGATAACTGCTGCTATGCCACCCTTTTCTGCTTCAAGACTTGATAAATATGCTAACTGTGCATCAGCCTCATATGGAGCTACCACAAATTCCACATTTTCTGATCTCAAGATCTGAAAGGCGACAATAAGACATAACTAAACATATCATAGGATATAAAGATCTGATTTCAAAATGTGAAAAGTAAGCATAGAGCAGAACTTAGCATATCATGTCATGAAATGTAATGTACAACAAATGGATGTTACAACAATTATGTACCTGAATTAGTTTGCGTGCCATGAGTGGGGTGATACTCACTGCTCTCTGAAAGTTACAACAAAAGAGTAAACGTGAATTGATGATTGTTAAGATTGTTGGGAAAGTAGCCAAACGTTCATCCAGATCATATGAATGTAAAATTTAAACAGAATAGATAAAGATTGAACGAGAACTTTGTGATGGCTAAACCTTGCTTTTGTAATTTCCAGAACAAAATCAAACAGGAAACAAAATTCACAATAAAATTTAGAAGACATGAAATAAGAAGAAATGTAGAAATTCTGGACTCAGTAAACCTAGGGTAAATTACCAAAACCTTTGAAGAGACCATTTAGTACAAAAACTTGGTTCAATAAAAAAACCAAAATAAAAATTCCATCAATTTGCTCGGAAAGCTGAAATGAAACGGTTTTAAATAAAATCCATAAACAAGCTAAGAATTAGTATTAAACATTAAAAAAATATAAAAAGATAAAATACCCACTCCTATACCTGAAAGAAATCACTAGCAGCATTAACATTCCCTTCCTTAAGTTTCTCCATAGCCAACTTATGATTAGCTTCTCTCCTTCTAACAAAAACCAAAGATAAATCCACAAACAAAAATCAAATGCCGAAATACCATTTCTAAAAATCCCAAATGGGTAATCTATAAAAATAAACATAGTACGCTACCTGTGTCTTTCATTTTCAGTTGCAGCTTTGCAAGGAACGCTAGCACCATCAAAAACAACAACTGGGGTTATCTTGTAGTGTCTAAGAAGATTGATTCTGTGCATAAAATACTCCAAATATCGCAGCCTTTTATCGCCTTTTAGATCCAGACATATCTCCATACTACATGAGTAAGCTGTAACAAGTTTCACCAACACAAAAATTATCAAATTTAAAAAATATATATATTTACTTTTCATTTTTCACCGAAAAAATATAATTAATTATACTCGAAGATTAAGGAAGTTACCTCCTTTATGAAGCCATGAATACGCATCAATACCCACCTGAAAATATTTAAAAATTGAGTAACAAAAAAAGAAAAAAAAAATTATAGAAGAAAAGGTTAGATTTTTACTCTCTTGCCAGAGTATTTCTTGATGTGAACTGGTTCAATATAGGTTTTCATGAATCTGAGAAGATCTTTGATACCCATTTGCTTATTTTGGCTGTTGGCTGTTGCAGTTGCTGCTCTATTTCTTTTCTTTATCAGATAATTAGGATTTTGATTTTTACCTAATTTTATTAAGGCAGAGAAAATGGCGGGAAGATTAGCAAATGTCAAAATTTGGAGCCAAAGCGTAAAATAGTGTTGTTTAAAGTTACAGTACTGTCATATTATCATTTTGTACGGACCAATAACAGAGATGACCCACCACCCAATAGTTTACGTCAAATTTGGACGATAAGGTAGGTCCGGCCTTTTAAAGCGAATGGGCCAGCTCAAAGTCATAGAACATCTTAGGCCCATTACAATCAGCCCAAGTTTATATGGGTTTAGTATTTTTTTTGTTTATTAAGCCGTTAAAGGAGATTAATATCTTTTCCATCATTTTCAGTTTCAAGTCATTTTATGAAACGGCAATGGCAGCTCAGCTGGCATTGAAATCAGTTCTTCTTTTCAAACTTGCAGGCAGAAACACAAGTTATGGCGGCACTGTGTCAAATTACTGCTATAGTTTCTACAACAAAGCAATTGTGACAACGACGACAAGAAAGCCAGAATTTCAACAGGGACAATTGCGGTGCTTTACTACTAGCAATGAACAAGGAAAGAGATATTTGGAATTATCAGATGAGGAACTAATGAGACAGTGCGAGATGGACACTTTCAAGGCCTCAGGCCCTGGCGGTCAGCACCGGAACAAGCGCGAGTCTGCCGTCCGTATTAAGCACCTCCCTACCGGTGTTATTTCTCAGGTCAGGATTCTTTTTTTTTTTTTTTTTTGGGTCTGTGGATTGCACAATTTGTTATCTTGAATGCATGTTACATGTTTGTTCATTTGTTTAAATGACATAATATAGGCAGTTGAGGACCGTTCACAGCACAAGAATCGTGCTTCAGCCTTAAGGCGCCTGCGCACTCATTTAGCTCTCAAAGGTATTTTTGGCTTCCCCGCCGGCGCCCCCCCAGTTGAGGACCGTTCCAGCACAAGAATCGTGCTCAGCCTTTAAGGCGCCTGCGCACTCATTTAGCTTCTTCAAAGGTATTTTTGGCTTCCCCGCCGGCCCGCCCCCCCCCCTCCCCCCCCCCCCCCCCCCCCCCCCCCCCCCCCTTTTTTGAACTATAACAACATAAACGAAGTACTAATTGTGAGCTAGTCAGGAACAATGTGGATCTCAATTCGTATTTGCCTCCTCCTGAGCTTCTTCAAATTCTTCCTCTTAAGTCAACTATTAGAGGTCCAGAATGCGGTCCACAAATTGGACCTAATAATCCTAAATTTGTTTTGATATTGTTTCTTTTCTTCCTTTTTTTTTTTTTTTTCGCTTTCATTGGGAATACCTTTTTTTTAAAAAAAAAAAAAAAAAATTGGTAATACTTTTTTTTTTATCGACTGAGCAAAGGAAGATTATAGAACTCTTTAATGCAGGGGATGCAAGCTCTTCTGGATCTAATCTTTGCTGTTGAGGGTTCTGTATCAGAAGCAGCAAAATTGCTTGGGTACATGATCTTGAACTTTCTATCCTGCCAGTAGCTAGGCTCTTTGGGCTAGATAGATATATTAACTAGGTGTTCCTGGATATCATAAAACATTATCGACAAGAACTTCTCTTTGTTGGCATTAAATTCAGAGTTACATCTAATTTTGCTCTTATACAAACTCTCGTTTGTAAGCAAATAAGAATGAAGTATCAAGTTTTCCTTTCAAAGTTTGCTTGATTAGGAAAGAAATCTCTCTTCCTATTTAGGCTTAAAACTCGTTTGTTGACTAAGCACGATTGATGACTTGATTCTATTAATCTCACTCCTGCAGGTTAAGCACAGGGGCACTATCTAAGCACGATTGATGACTTGATTCTATTAATCTCACTCCTGCAGGTTAAGCACAGGGGCACTATCGAGGTTGCTACTATCGGATGACTCTCTTCGCATGGCTGTGAATGATTTGAGGACTTCCAAGGTACAAACACTGATGATTTATGGTACAAGCTATTGTAATGGTTCACATGTTTTGCTATTACTATTTAGTTGTGGTAGAAGACACAATCATCTTCATTTAAGAATGCTTACATACTTTGGTAGCACCCAGGAACAGTGGGTTGCTTCAAACAATCAAGTTGCAAAAATCTAATTAAACTTGGGTTTGATGATGTCTAAAACATCTATAATCCATTGTAAATGACATTCTAGGGCAATCTCTTATAGGAATTTCATTTGAAAGTAATCAAAATTCTAGTCTTCTTCAATATGATGTAATGTTTGTACTTGTTCACCTTTTTCTTAGTCAAACGCAGGCTCTTTTTGTTTTGTATTCCATAATTGCTCTAGTCAAGTCTACTTATCATCCCATTAAGAGTAGTTTCTTTATCTTTCTACTGTCTAGTACCAAACGCATATTTTAAACAACTGACAGTGTCGTGACCATGCAAATAATGCATCACACGAGCCTTTTCTAAGGTAGTAAATGACAAGTTGATTGGCTTGGGTTTGAAGTGTAAATCTTACTTAACAAAACAAAAGGCAAAAGTTTTTTGAGTTGAAAGCATATGATATTTTTTTTGAAGACAAGATACACTCAGACTAGAAAATCCCCTGCTTAAAACCTTGTCCCTTCTGCCTTGTGTTATGCAGATGATTTTGCTTTTATTAGCCTGGATCACTTCAGGGTAGCGATGAAAATGTGATTAATTATGACACTTAGAAGTAGCAAATGTATTGTAGCAAATGAGAAAAAAGTGCTATGGACTTAAAGAAGAGCATTTTCGTAAGTTATCTTTCAATTGATCCATCAATCATATGCAGCTGAAGGATAATCAATAAAAAGCAGTAGAAAGAAACTAAGGTTCATTTTATGAGAAATGATTTATTTTTTGTTCAGTCTGCATAATGAAAATTAATTGGAAAAATATTTTATACTGGTCAAATTATATTGGAAAATATCAAGTACTTTTTAGAATATTTTACATATAGCTTAAAAATTCATTTTTCATTTTTTTTTTTTTTTTTTTTTTTTTTTTTTTTTTTTTTTTTTTTTTTTTTTTTTTTTTTTTTGCAATCAAGTCGGGATTCAATTAGTTGCATTTATGAGTTTATATTTTGGTCGTTCAATATTCATTTCTTTGAAAATTCATGTTTCAAAATTTTTTTTGGCAATAAAGTCAGGATTCAATTAATTATTTTTATTAGTTTATAGTTGGTCACTCATTTCTTTGAAATGTTTGATGATGGCTAAACACCCTCCCTTCCCTGCACCAAAAAGAGAGAGAGAGAGAGAGAGAGATAAAGAGAATAAATAAACTGGCTATACACCTGTGCAGTGTAAAAGTTGGCTCTATCATATTTTGTATATTCTTTCTTTTTGACAAAATCGACATTCTCGATTCATGTTAAAAATCTTAAAAAAAGGATTTTGACATTGAGTTCTGATGCACTTTATACTGTCTAAGAATGAACATTATTTAAATGGCATTTATGTTCCTACATTGTTTATCCAACTAGAAAGAGTTACTGTGCTTGGACCAAGATTTCCCATCAAATATTTTCCATGATTTGGTTTCTGAAACTCTTCTATTGCACCTCTTTCTTTCCTTTGTTTCATGTTATTGTGCTTGTCTTCAAGTTTCTTTGTCCGTCATGAGTCTTTTTTCTTCTCCATTTCATGGTAGTATCAGAGGAGAATGAAAAAGGCTGAAAGATGTTTAGTTTATAGGATGAAATTTATGTTTTACATTTCATCATCTGTCTATTACACCATTATGCATTTGCTTGACGACAATCCAATATCTGTAAGTCAATAAAATTTTGATTCCCTCATGCTGTAAAGCAGTTCTTTACTGTGCATTCTAAAATATTTTCAAGTTCTTATTGATTATATACTGTCATGTTTTCCACCTTTCTTTTGAAGGCAGAAAAGAATCATTATCATGAGCTTTTTGCAGGGTTTGAAGCCTCTGAAGTAGGATGATGGAATTTCAGGTATTGCACTTCCTCTTTTTTCCTTCTATATTTGATACAATGATCCAAATATTTCATAATGACTGCACAGAAACTGGCATTTATCTTCTATTTGCGTATTGAGTATTGCATGTCATTAACCAAGACTATCACAGAATTAGCTCGAGTTATATTATAGTTTAACAGTGATTGATGGGAAATCTTTAAAACATTAGAGCTAATATTTACATGTTGTCGTAATACTTCCATTTAGTGGTCAGGCTTCCAAATTTATTCTGATGTTTGTTTAATACTTTATCTTTATGATATGGTAACCTGTTCTGAATTGGCTAGTGTTGTTCCTTCAAAGTTCATGACCTTAGAATTTTAAATTTGTGGCCATATACTGATCTGAAGTTATTATAACATCCTTTTGATGTGAAGGTAAAAAGTGGCTTAGTGACACGGGGAGAATTTATGGCAATTAATTCTCAATAACTAGGCTAGAATAGGGTGATTGTAGTTGGAACAAAATAACATCATTGTTTCTAAATAAAATCTTAGAATAAAAATTCTGAACTAATAGAGAAAAATACAATACATAAACTAACTAGTTTTGTCCTATTTATACTAGTTAAGACAAATCTAATTCTATACTGAAAAGTAATTCTAATTAGTTAGTATTCTATTAATAGAAATCCTAAATAAAGAAGGAAACTTATAATATTCCTAATTAATTAATATACTATATCAGAATCCTAAATAAAAAAGGAAAACTAAAAAAAAAAAAAATTCTAATTTTTGGATGCTCCTGCACACTTAGATTGGACATGCATCATTCTTTTGCTTTGCGGAATGTCTTTCTAATAGTTGGATGAAATACTGATATTTATCCTACTGCTCTATGTTCTTCTAGTAATCATGTGATCTTGAGGTTCTTCTGATGCTTCTTTGGATATCTCAAATATCCTTATGAAACATGTGCATATACAAACTCTTTGTGCATGCATACGTATAGCATCAATGCATGCTACCATTACCTGAGCTTGTAAGCCAGACTTGAGTTTTACCATTGAAGGTAATAGGAATCATCTTATCTTTTACCCACCAAACTGGTAAAAGTACTTTTTTATTTTTTACACTTCATTTTTGGAAAAACTTTCCCAGAATCTCTTTCTGAATGGCAAGGAACATAGCAAAGAAACAAAAGACGAGAGATCTATCAATTCTATAACCAAACTCCAATTCTTTCCATCAGGAAAACCCACCAGCCTTCTTCTAGACACTGGTTCACCTTTGCTAATCCATTGCTTATCTTGAAGACTACAATAAATGGAATTGAAAGTTCAGATGGCCAATGTAGAATTCTAAGTTCTCACAGTAAATTAATAGTTCAACAAAAAACCAGATATGTCTATAGAGGCTATGACTTTAAATGGAGAAAACTGAAGTATGAAATTGTTGAAGTTAGTCTTATTAGACCCTACTAAAACATAAATTACTTATTAATTAGTCTGCTACTAAAAGAAGCAATTCCTTTGCCTAGATGGATTAAAAACGCTATTTGGATTAGGGTTAAGTTTATGGGGATGAATATAAATTATATCAAAGTTTCACTTTGATTAAACATCGTAATGTCATTTTCAAACTTCCAGTCATTTTAAACGTCAAGGGGAGTCTTCCTGATATCCATAGATTCTTTGGAAGCCTTTTTTTGACATCCAATTTGACACAAAACCGGAGGGGGAGATTGAAAACTTCAAAAAAATGTAGATTAAATGCTTATTAATTTACTAGATACTACATTTTCAAGTGTAGCATGACGAGGTGTGAGATTATTATAAAAAAGAGAAGTTAAGGGTGTCACATTTTTTTTTTTTTTTTTTTTTTGTTAAACTGTAGGGGTTAAATTATATATTCAGCCTTTGATTTATGCCATGTTACATTAACATAGCCAAGGGATGTGCATATATCATTGTGAATTGTTTCTTATAGCCGGGTTATTTTTTATTTATTTTCAGAGGGCTGAATATTGATTTAGAGTCATTGTGAACCAGGGAGACATGTTTTGGCAGCTAATTTATTCGGATTTGAACTGCAACCTCTGAAGCATCTGAAGGTGAGGACAGTTTACTGAAGAGCAGTCTTTAAAAATGTGAATTAATGAGCTATTTAGCATTATATTGACATGTATAGTCTGTATATGCCTTAACGTATATTATTTGGTACAATCTAAAATGAAAAACAAAGAATAGGACTTAGAAAACAAATCTGGTTGGCCTGTAAAGAGCACTTTACTATGATAAAAAGCCTGATTGGGCACTAAAATGCTAGAGTCCCAATATTTAATTTAGATATAACTCATTTCCATACTAGTTAATCCCCTCCTCAGGCAAGTTCCTCCTCCTCAGCCACTGGCTACTTTCTTCTTTTCTTTTTTTAATCTATTCCAAATTCCCACGATTCCATGAAAACCGAGAAGATGATGATAACAATTAAACTAAACTAGTTAGAGTCAACTATATGAATCCTTTGTGATGTGCTCGAAAACATTATTTTGCACACTCATTTGTATATATACATATTCTCTCATGTGCAGCTGAGGTCCCTGTTTGATGTTTTCTTTGTGCAACATTATCCATATTTCTACAATTTTGTGCTTAAAACTATTTCAACTAATACAACGTATTATTTTGCCTCAAAAAAAAAAAAAAGGTAAAAAAAAAGAAAGAGGGAATTACAAGTATTATTCTGCAAAAAGACTAGTTCCTATCATAGGAAGATAGCATTTCAAGGGGCAGGTCTCAAATACAAGGGTATGTAGTTCACTTGATCTGGTTTTGAGTCCCAAACTGAAAATGCACTTGAACACTTCATCCATTTCTTCGTCATTTCAGGGAAATGGCGATTGATTACATCTTTCAACGTCTCTGTCTTGTTAACCCACTCTAACCCTTCATTTGTGTAGGTTTGACAGTTGAAATTGGTTGTGAAGAAACGATCAGCCTCTAGCCTCCTGGAAATGTAATCAAATTTAAAAAATTCATTGCATTACATACAATTTTATAGTATCAAATTACATTATGTAATGGAGGGTAACATGTACAAAGGAATGACATTTATCCCTTATTTGGTATAAATGATTTTTAAAACATAAAATTCATTGATAAATAATAGAATTTTGTTTAATTATATTGAAGTTCATAAAATTAAACTTGGAGAATTTTCATTCATACAAAAAAATAAATAAATAAAAGTTTGAAATTAATATAGTTCTAGATTTAAATTTTATATGTACGATCATAAAAATACAAATTCTAAATTATTTGAAATGACTAACTAGCCCTTTGAACTTGTTAGCAATATATAATTTATTCAAAATTTGGCCTATTTTTCGACTAGTCAATACACGTGTGCGACAAATGGTAAGAAGAACTAGTGATTTGGTTCTCTCTCTCAATTTAAATTTGTCAATGCACTTGTTCCACTAAAAAATGAGTCCAACTACTATTTAGGTTGTAAGTTTCTATTGAAATCCATAAAAAAAACTCAATGTTGGATAAAATATGCAAAGCAAGCAAGTTCATAGGGCAAATCAATCAATCATACCAAGTAGAGCATCAATTATTTGCATTCAAAAGCATTCTAACAAACATGCAAAAGAGTAAAATTATTCAAATTGACATAACGGGTTCAATGAAATTTACCTTGATGCGATGAGTAAGAAGATAAAGAAAGCAGTCTCACTAATAGCAAAGCCTTTGATTTTCTTTTCAGCATGTAGGCCAACTAGCAAATCAAGCTTTTCAATCTCATCTCCATACACTTGATGAAGAGCTTCTATAACCTCCTTATCATCTGTCAAATCTTCCCACTTGCTTATTGGAATCATCAATAATTTCCTTCTAAATTCATTATACCTAGCAACTCCCCTCTCTCTATCTCTGTAGACTAATCAAACCAAAATCCATAGTTATGTTTCAATCACGAGGAAAGCACAATATGAATTTATGCCTTAAATATATAAATTTACTTCTGAACTTTACAACTTTAACCTTGTGGTCTCTGAATTTTGCAAATGGCCTATTATACGCTTAAATTTGTAAATTTTGGTAATATTATATACATTTTGACACTAATATAAATAATTTTTAGGGTTTTTGGTTTTTTTATCAGCTAAATATCGACTTGATACGTAATTAGCATACTTTTGGAATAATAGTTTTATAAATTTGAAATGTTTAATAGTAGTAATTTTACAAGTTAAAGTGTTTGATGAGTCAATAAAAATTGAGAGTGCCACAAAGTTAAAGTAATAAAATCAAAGGTAAATTTATGTATTCGGTCATTTTTATCGCAGTAAGTAAAAATCAAGTGTAAGGGAATTACTTTCCATAGCAGCCATATCAACAGGATCTGGTCTATCTTCTCCATTAATATCATGAGCAACAAGGTTTCTCATCCATGATGGATAGTTCCACAATGTAAGAGCTCCACTTGCTTGATAACCCATTGAGACCAACATTTTCTCCATTCCAATTTTTGACAATCTTTTCTCTCCTTCCTTTCCTGACATTTCTCTCATAGGCACCCTATATATAGCATATATCATTATAAATACTATTTAGTCATAATCCAAAATGCTTTCTTGTTTAATGCAATTGACACAAAACTAATGAATCAATATATTAGACAAGGAAACAAGAAACTGAAAGGATTGGTCCTATTTCATGCTAAAATATGAATTTTCAAATCTTTTAACCTAACACAATTATTCGGAATTGATCATCGTGTAGGAAGTAAAATTAGCAGGTAAGTATTCAGTCGGTTCAGTTTATTTTTACAAAAGAAACCAAGGATTGGTTATGTGTTAGATCTAGGCACTCTTGAACCATAATTGGACTACCTAAAGTAGATTTTGTTTTGGTGGATTCATTTGGTTTTGCTCAGGTAGCAATCATTTTTTCACTAGTTTCAACTAGTTTTTGGTGGTTATAAGCATTGATTTCTTCAAGGAATTAGGATTTAGGCTTGATAGTTCTGGTCCAATTCCGAAATTAAACCTAATTCTATTTAATTTTAAAAATGAATTCTATTGAAATAATTAAAATTTTTCAGTTTGATTTAAAACCAAACCAACCCAAGCTTATAGTTGAAATTCTAACATCTCTTTCCCATTCATTGAAAAAGAAAAAAGATAAAGAAAAAAGCTAAATATGCAAAGCAAGAAAGGGGAAAGGGAAGTACTCTTCAAGAACTGGAGGGCATTCAAGTTCTGAAGATGTGGATTTGATGTCCCTTAAAATGAGTTTATCAGGCAAAAGTGAGTGCATTCTATACACACTCGCAAACTCTTCAGTCAGTGAATAGGGAACTCCATGATCTCTTGGCCTTCTAAGACCAACCAATCCACTAAACAAAGGTCCTCCAAAGTGTCCAAATATGTCCTTAATCCTCTTCCCTAAGAATCCATACCTGCACCCAAATACCAACCACAGCACATCAAATTCCCATCTAGAAAACCAAACCATAGTACATTAACTAAAACTATGTTTGATATAACTAAATATGAAATATAATTTAATGTAATCGAATGCATTTCTAATATAATATTTATACTAAAAATATATCTGCATATATTTTATCGTATTTCATTACAGTTTATCAAATATATCCTAAATTCACTGTCAGTGTAATAAATATTATATATTTTGTCAATCAAGTGTTGTCTGGTTGGTCTTCTCACTTATGTGAGGAGTGAGATCTCTTGACCACAAGTGTTTTCACTAATTTGGCGAGTCCAGAGAAGGGCTACCCCTATTGTGTAGCTCTAGTGTTATTTCGGCCATCCAGTCTCCCGATGAATCAAAAACATACTACCCCTAATTGTGTAGCTCTATGTTATTTCGGCCCATCCAGTCTCCCGATGAATTCAAAAACATATTATATATTATATATCATATATATATATATAGAACTGTATATATATGTTTCAGCTTTAAATTAAAATGAACTTGAGAGTTACTAATAAGATTCTTACCAATTGATCCTCATTCCAGCAAGGATAGTGTCAGTTTTTAGGAGCTCCACGGTCCAATCAATGGTGTGAATTTTAGCGATAACAGCTGAAGTAACCAATCTTGCGTATCGATAGAGTTCTTCGTCATCAAATTCAGGGTATTTTTCCTAATAACAGAAGGAAATTCACAAAATTATCACCAAAGAATAGAAAAAGATCAAGTAGTAAAGAGAAATAGAAAGAAATATTTACTTACTTTAAGCATATCACATACAGCATTATGTTCTTTGACAAATAAGGCTTGTAATAGGGAAAACCCTGCCCAGCAATTCCTAACATCACCAGAAATTGGAATTCCTTTCTCATCATGTTCAAGTAGTCCATCTTCTCCAATCTTTAATTTCCCATCTTTGAATGTCCTTACTCTTCTCACTCCATCCTCATTGTTCCCATAAACAACACTCCCATCCCTACATATATTGGAAAAACAAACTAAATGCAACTGTCATTTGATAAGACTTCACATCTATGTTGCCCAGAAACAAAAACGAGGAAACGCGGAAACGATACGGAGAAACGAAATTTAAAAAATAATTTTACACGAAAACAGTATTTTATACAAGAAAACGAATACACAGAAACATTTCGAAAATGCAGAAACGCCCATGGCTAAAAGTTTCTGTGCACCATAGCTTCCCATGCACCCAAAGTAGCATTTAATTATAAGGCTTACCACCAAGGAGTTCTTGTATTCAGGCATCCAGTCTTTAAATAAGGTGAATGTGTGGAAATTTTCTTGGTCTTAAAGAATTTGAAGGACTTCAATGGACACCCATCTGCAACTTCATCAGGTGCTCTAATTTCCACCTGGTCAAAAAATCATATATATATACTTACTTTATAACTATATTACCTACTACAGTAATTATATTATATTTGAAGAATTATGATGTTTACTAGACAAAAATAACTCGATCATTTGAACTAATAACTTCTCAACTTAATTAGCGTTACATTGATGATCTAATAAAATATATATTTGAAAAATAGATGTTTTATAGACAGAAACTCGATCATTGAACTAATAACTTCAATTAATTAGCGTTAATTAGTGATTAATAAAGTACCTGTTGGGTATCTTCCATATGATCAATCCAATCATGAATCATGAATTGGATCCATGAGCAAGCTATCATGTTGAATTGCTTTTCATTGTCTATCAACTTTTTTCTTGCCAAAAGCTTGTTGGCTACAACTGTTGGGTGAGGATCCATCAACTGCATGCATGCACACACCCAAACATATTAGAAATAAAAAATAAAATTTATCCTAACAAATAATCAAATAAAATTTATTTCTCAAAAAATATATATATTTTAACAAAAAGGCTTACAAAGAAATGTTTAGGATCCAATACTTGCATGTTGTATTTAAAAGGGTTTCATAAAAAACTGCTTTTGGGCTATAATTTGATTCTTGGAATCAGAACAAAATTTAATCTCTAATATACAATAATCTATTAAATTTGATTGAGGAGAGAAATTAATTTGGAAAAAAAAACCCTAAAAAAATTCATAAGTAAGTCCATATTCCTACCTCTTTGTTTGGATGAGAGAAATAGTTTTATAAAAATAAATGACAATGATGAAACCTTATTTGGAAACAATGAAATACTTTTTACTACTAAAACATCTAATTTTGCCGAAAAACACTAAATTGTAATTGTATGTCTTCAAAATTGGAGATATAATGAAGAAAAATTCAAAAACTTAATGTTTTTTTATTAATTAATTTACATGATTTAAAAAGGAAAGCCCAAAAATCAACTATCTTTGGCCTAATATATAGTAAAGATAGACTATTACTAAAGTCCTAAGACTAAAAGATCTTAATTTTAAACTTCATCCTTCCTATATTAATCAATTTAGGGCTAACCAGAGTTTGATTTAGATGGTTGAATCTATCTAACCAAATTGTTTGTTTTGATTCAATTCAATTTTGTTTTAACCGAAAATTTAAATAAAAAAAAAATCAACTTGGTTCGACTTTTATTAGAAAAGAATTTTAATTTGATTTAATTTTTATTAAAAAATTAATTTAGTCTGATTTTTATTAATACAAAATTAACAAAGTCAAAAGTCAACAAGGAATACTATTGTAGTTAGTAATTATACGAAGAGTTGATGTCCCACGTTGAAAAGTTACCACGGTAAACTAGTCTTTATAAGTAAATTATGGAAGGAAACCAAAATTTAACTATAGAAATTTAAGTTGTGAATTTGTGGGGATATTTGAGTAATTTAATGAAATAGGAAGTAGTAATATATTTCATCCCCATGCTTTATTTTCTTACCAATTTGGAAACATTATATTTTTGTGGACCCAGAGCATGTTTTTTTTTCTTCCTTCACTTTTTCTTCATTGTTCCTAAACAAGGAAAGGTTATTCTTCTTGTATTTTCCATCCTTTCCAAACATAGTGTTAGTCATTAGCTGTCTAACAAATGGATCATTTGTTATTATATTATTATTTTTGGCTAAATGCATAATTTACCCGTACTTTACGTAAAAAAAAATTGTGACTCCTTATAATTTGTGAATAGCCTATAATAATTTTGTAGTTTTCTATTTTGAATTTAATAGATACCTCACTAGAACTATCATTATGTGTGAGTTATACTCGCCTTGAGTTAGCAAAAAGGCTCTGACACGACAATTCTAATATCTTTTTTCTTTAATAATAACATAGATTATTTAATATAAAAATATATAACATATAATATAAATTACCTAATTCAAAAAAAGCCTAAGGAAAAAGTGCACCCAGTTCTTCATCTTGGTGGAATATCACCACCACAAAAATAAATATGGCACCTAAGAGAAAAATATAAACACTACACGGTGGCTCCTCCACCGAAATCTTATATCAAATAACCATCATCCTTCTCAAGTCAAGTCATACTCTTATGCTTTCAAAACGGTTTTGCAAATCCTCCTCAAGAGATTTGAATCGCAGTTGAAATTTGAAAAATTATCTGCTCATGTTGTAGAAAAATTTCAATCCCCCTATTTTTGCTTTTTGGTGCTTATGTGTTTTGGAGAAACTTAATAAGAAATAAATTCAAGAAAATTGAAAGAGTAGAGTTTGAATAGTCGTATTAATTGCAGCCTCAAAAGGGTAGAGATTGAGATCAATAGTGCAAAGCATTTGTTTCCTCTCTCCTACTCTCTTTCTCTCCAACCCTCATTGTATATTGCTTATTTCTTATTATTAGAGAGAGAGAAAAACACAGAAAATAAAAAATATATATATATATATATAAAGCAAAACAAAACTCAAAACCTACAGAAAGAAAAAGATGTTCTTACAAAAAGAAAGAGTTATCACGTGTTAAATAATAGAAATAAAATTTTCTGGGTTTTCTTCTTCAAACCAAAAAGCAGAATTTTCTGGGTTTATTTAATTTTTAAAAAAAAAATAGAAAAAAAATTGTTAGGTTGGATGTTTATAAGACACTCTCTCTTTTTCTTAAAAGAGCTTTTTTTTTTTTTTTTTTTTGTTGGCATGTTTATAAGACCTCTCATCTTTTTTCTTAAAAGAGCTTTTTTTTTTTTTTTTTTTTAACTTTCAACTTAACATAGCGAAGTTATTTACGATAAAAATAAAAAACTACTCAAAGGCAAGGGGCAAATTATGCATTTTTTGGGGCTTATTATTATTTTGCAACATTAGCTTTTTTTAACTAATAACAAATTATTATGTGGTCAATGGTCAGCCTATGCAGATAATGTGGGGACGCATACAAAGAAGACCTATATAACACAACTTAAATTAGCTTTTTTTTTTTTTTTTTACTTTCACACTTAAACATAGCGAGTTATTTAAACGATAAAAAATAAAAAACTACTCAAAGCAAGGGGCAAATTATGCATTTTTTGGCTTATTATTATTTGCACATTTAGCTTTTTTACTATACAAATTATTATGTGGTCAATGGTCAGCCTATGCAGATAATGTGGGGACCATACAAAGAAGACCTATATAAACAACGAAATATCTTTCTCAGCTATCATTTTCTAAGGGCCACATTGGTGGTCCATTTATAAATTTATTCATAACCCCATCTGGAATTGAAAATGACAACAAAACCAAAAATCTCATTATTTTCATCCGTTGAACTCTTTAATTTATAAAATTAGATTATTTCAATATTTATTAAATAGTTAAAAATATAAAAATTATATTAATTATATAATAAATCAACATTTTACATATAAAAACTAAAAAATCTTAAATATTATTATTGCTAATGTGAGGATGTGTGAAATTATAGCAAAAAAGTAAAATTTAAATTACTACAAGATCGATTTTAAAGTTTAGGTGAAACAAGATTTTTTTTTTTTTCATTAAAATTCAGGTGTTAAAATTATACATTCTGTATAGGCATTTTCAAAACTGCAATATTATAAATTTAATTAATGTCAAATTAACAAAAAAAAAAAACTACCAGAAAAAAATATACTAGAAAATGGAAAAAGATTTAAGTAGGAAAATGAAAATATGTTTCTATATAAAACTATATAGAATTTAGTTTAGGTCAATCAGTTTTTTTTTATTACTTAAACTGAACTCAGATAATTGAAATTTAATAAAATTTAAAAATCAAATCGAGCAAAAATAATCAGAATTAAATCTAGAGTGAGCATTCGGTTCGGCCAATTCAATTAATTCGGTCAAAATGTTTCGATGAATAAATATTAAGTTAAAAGTTCAGTTAAAAAAAATTAAAAGTTTGGCCATCGATTAAAAATTTGATTGAAAGTTAATTTAACTGAATTAATCAAATTAATCGACTCTCAAAATTATGTCGTTTTGATTAAATAGATAATAAAATTAAAAATATTTTAATTTTTACTTTGATTAAAATAGCGATTAATATTTTCAGTTAATCATAAATTTTGATTAACTTCGATCGGTTAATTAAATTTTAATTTTCTTTAACTTCATTCGGTTAATGATGAAAATTAATTCGGTCAAACGGTTTGATTAAGTTCAGTTACAAAATTAATTTGGTTAAGTCAAAAAAATTTTTAGTTTAATTTATTTTGATTAAGTCAAAAAATTTTTAGTTTATTTTATTTCGGTTAAAAACTTTATTCAAATAGACCGAATCGGTGAAATGTTCCCTCTTAATTAAATCAATTTAAAAAAAAAAATACCGTATATGGAGAAGAGGAAGGAAGCATGTTGCGACCGAAGAAAGTTCCTTGGCTCCCAATCATATTATCAGTTGGATGGTTGCATTTTCCATCACTCGTACGATAAGAAAATTCCTTGGTGTCATATTTATGACCGTTGATTCCTCCAACATGAAACAGATTATAACGTTGGTGCAGGTGCCTTCTGATTGCCAGGTAAATGAGTCCCAATATCACTGGCAGTCTGTGCCATATTCTCAGTTTGTCTACAAAATGTACAACCTGCGTACATACATACACACGTCATACCCAAATCGAAATGCTATTATTAGTTAAATAATCAATAATAAAAAAATATAATATTAAATAAATTTGATTCCCAAAAATATTCATATCTTAAATATTTCTCCGTCTTGATTATTTTGTTCTAAAATATAAATCGTTTTGAGTGTTTTAAACAGTAATAGTATTACTTTATTTGTATTAGAAATAATAATCATCTTCAAAAGTTATTATTTGCTTTGATTTTAAGATAAAATAGCAATTTAGTCCAATTGCCATTTATTTTATTATAATTTGGTAGAATTAATTACTTCATTAATTCTCGTATAAAAATTTGAAGCAATACAATAAGGCACGCTTGAATTCAGTGCACTACCTTTCCAAGGTTAGAGATTCAGACTATATTCAACAATAACTTTTTAAATATGTTTTAGCGTTTTAACTGGTTAAAATGCTAAACGTTAAATGATACTTAAAGAGTTGTTCGATAACATAGCATTTAGACTAGCTTTTAGGATTTAGGGTAGCATTTTGTAAAAAATTAACTAATATAACATTTAACTTTCAGTGTTACATAAAAAGCTACTAAAACAGCTCACAACAAAACGCGGCTAAAACAGCTAACAGCTACTAAAACAGTTAATTTTACCGAACAAACACACAATTTATAGAAAAATATTTATAAACTATAAAATGAAATTAATCTTAATTAGATTTTTTTTAAAAAAAAATTTGATATTTCAACTGAATTTAAAATTCATAATCTCACAAACATAAAAGTAATTGTAATATATTATTAAATTAAAACTCGTATTAAACTCAGAAAACTACCTACCTTATTTGATGAATAAATTTACTAACTTATCTTAGAAAGCAGAATCAAATTGACACCTTACCACTAAAAAAAAATTTGATTTTTATAACTAATTATACTTTAATCATCCTAATTTTAAGAATTTTCTGTAAATTAATTCACACATATTGTTCAGTTCTGAAATCAGAAAACTTTTATATATGGTGCTCATAAATCATAACTGCAATTCATACCCACATGCAATTTCAAAGCACAATTGCAGAAATGAGCAAGCAAAGGAGAATGGAAAAGAGAGAGAGAGAGAGAGAGAGAGAGAGACTCACATAGAACAAGATAGCGTCAAGAAGAGTCATTTTGGCAATGGAAGTTGTTAGTTGAGGATGAATGAAAGAGGAAGACAGAACAGAGAAAGCCATGGTTATGTAACTGTGAGAGAGATTTTTGGAATGAAGAGATAGAAAGCTTCTTTTGCTAATTTTATTTATGCAAATTGCAATCATATGATATAGATACTTATTAAGAAATGCTTTGCTTTCCTTTCCTTTTACATTCATTCCACGTGTAAAGTTATTTCACAATCTAGATATGTAATAAAATTTGTTTTTTCTAAATACATAATTTTTTTTTAATTTTGTGGTATTTTAAATCTTGTAAGATCCTCGTGTGCGCTTAAAGTTATGAATTTTGAAAATATTGTACAATTTCTCTGTAATAGTAACAACAGTTTTTACAGTTTTTAATTTTTATAAAATATCGATTTAATATATGGTCCACGTAATTTTAAAATAACAAATTTTATATTTTTCAACTATATAATAAGTAGATCTAATTTTATAAATTGAAGTTTTTTGATAAAATGATTTTGTAAATTGAATTGTCTAATAGCTGCAATTTTATAAGTTTTTTTTTTTTTTTTTTTTTATACAATTGAAGTTTTTTTGATAAAAATGATTTTGTAAATTGAATTGTCTAATAGCTGCAATTTTATAAGAGTTTTTTTTTTTTTTTTTTTATGTTTTTTTTTTTTTTTTTTTATGTTGCACGTGCTTTTTATATACTATTTTTTTTGTACTTTTTTAATTTTTTTATTTATATAATATTAAAATATAAGTTTTTGTTTAAATTAAAATAAATATAAGTAGTCAATTTCTAGTACACTTTACCATACAGGTTACTTATAATGATAATTCTTATGCACTTAAGTCTACCAGTGTTAGAACCCGCGCGATGCGCAGAGCAATATTTAAGGATAAAATAATTTTTTATAATTTCGATACAAAAACAACACGAAAATTAGACGGTTGACATGAACACGATATGTTTAACTCGCTTAACATTATAAACAGGTTAAGTGGGTCATGTTGACTCATGTACAATTCATGTAACCCGTTTAATATCATAAATAGGTTAAGTGGATGTGTTGACTTATATACGACCAACTTAACCTACTTATAGTATTTTTAACTTTTAACTTATTTAACTCCTTATTTACTCACCAATCTATTTAAAAATTAATTTTCAAACACACTTAAATGCATAAATGTTTTTCAAGATTTATAATTAAAAAATAAAAAGTAAATCAAGCAATAAATATGTAAGATGAAGTTTTAGGTTGGAGTATTGTAGTATACTAATACACTATAAAATGACTCGGTTTAGCTTTTAAAAAACGGGTCACATTATCTAACTCGCGTAGTCAATCAGCCTGGTCCACACACAGTTTATATTATGGCTGTGTCGTGTCCATAAATGGGTTGACTCGTTGCGCGTAATTAGTTGAATTGTGTGTTTTGTCCTTGACACCCTAGTAATACACCTGCATAAAAAAATGCACAATCACGATTAATATATTTTTTGTAATAGGTGATAATAATTTTCTTTGAGAGAATTTGTAACTGAATCAGTATATTGAAATGTACAGAAATTAAGTTATTATTTATTTTAGATGTGTTACTTGCATTTATTATCAAATGCGGGATTGTATTATTTATTTTGAAATATTAAATGTATTATACTTATATTTTGGTGTAAAGTCGTTGTTTTTAAGCGTTGTTGGTTCCCTACTGTTACGGTGATTAACACTGTATCGTAACTCCACATACGCTCTATTTATTTGCCGCGATGAAGCGTGTTTTTTAATTTGACTTTTGTATCTTTTGTTGTTATTATGAAATAATAAAAAAAGACAAAAAAGAAGGGAGCTAAATTCTTTTTTCGAAAAACTTTTTTATTATTTATTTGTTTGGGATAAAGAATTTATTTTTCTCTTAAAATCTTATTTTTATAGGTATTTAAATTAATTTTTCTCTATAAATTTATTTTTATAGTTTTTTATTTTCCTTCTAATTTGAAGAGAAAATTATCAGAATTCTTTTCTCTTATATTCCTTTTTTTATTTCCAAATAAAATAGTTTTTTCTTATTAATATTAATTTAGTTTTTTTTCCTCATATATGATATTATCTAAAAATATAATTGCTTTGTTTTTCCTTTATAATTTGCACGATGCGCATGATAATATTAAAATATGAAATAGTATTTTATTGCATCATTCAAAAATAGTAAAATTATATAATAAAATGATAAATTGTATCTTATTGAAATATGCTGAAAAGTTACGAGATTAAGATATATCTTCTTAAGTATTATACAAAGCTTTTCATAAGGTATGCAATAGCAAAAGTCATACATTGTATGACTTACATAAAAAAATGCATACACACTATTAATATATTTTTCAATAGTGATAATAATTTTGAGAATTAAACTATTGAAATAAGAAATTAAGTGTTTTTTATTTTATGTTTATGATTTATTATAAATGATTGTTTATTTATTTAAAATATTAATGTATTACTTATTTAGTGTTAATTATTTTATTTACCATATTCCATTTAATGTATTCACTATATTGTCATGTGCGCGATTGTTTATTTATTTAAAATATTAATGTATTACTTATTTAGTGTAGTGTGTCTTAAGCATATGGATGTCCTACTTTTTAAAAATTGTCGTATTCATACGATCATGTATCTCGTGTCCAGAGTCTGTGAAACTTAACTCCTGGTATATGAGACTATCCTTACACGAATCTAATCAACCATGGTTTTTTTTTATGACCAATAAAAATAAAGTGTTTTTTTTTTGTTTGCTTTTGTGTCATTGAAAATATGATTTATTATAAATGATTATTTATTTATTTGAAATATTAATGTTTTACTTTTTTTTTGTATGAAATGTATTAATTATTTAGTGTACTATGTCCTAAGCGTGTAGATGTCCTACTTTTTTTAAAAATTGTCACATCCGTATGTTCTCATATCTTATGTCTCATGTTCGTGCAACTTAACTCCTGGTATATGAGACTACTTTTTACACCAAGCTAATCAACCGATATTTTTCTTATTACCAATAAAAATAAAGTGCTCTTTTTAGGTTGCTTTTGTGTCATTGAAATAAGAAATTAAGTATTTTTTATTTTATATTTATATGATTTATTATAAATGATTGTTTATTTATTTAAAATATTAATGTTTATTTATTTAAAATATTAATATATTACTTATTTAGTGTACTGTATCCTAAGCGTATGGATGTCCTACCTTTTTTAAAAATTATCGTATCTCCTACATTCTTGTATCACGTATCCTGTGTTTATGCAACCTAGCTCCTGGTTTATGACACTACTCCATATACCAAGCTACTCAACTAAGATTTTTTTTTTATTACCAATAAAAATGAAGTGTTTTTTTTTTTAAATTTGCTTTTGTATCATTAAAATAAGAAATCAAAATCAAAAATTTAGTTTGTTCTTTTTATTTTACTGTTTATTATCAGAATGATTGGTTTAGTTTATGTGAAATATTAATGTATTTACTTATTAGTGTTGAGTAAGCTTTTAGGAGTTAAAAAGAATTCTTTTTCATACCTTTCAGGTCTGTTAGGGTTAAAAAGAATTCTTTTTCATACCTTTCAATCTGTGAATTACAGAGTTTATATACACAACATATAATTATTATAGAATATTTACAATAATTGCGTCTGATCCTTTCCTTATTTGCTTGATCCAATTTCCTTATTTTTCTGATTCTGATCTTTTCCTTATTTACTTGATTCTGATCCTTTCTTTATTTGCTTGATCCGATCCTTTCCTTATTTGCTTGATCACATTTCCTTATTTTTCTGATTCTGATTGATTTTCTTATTCTTACACTCCCCCTCAAGTTGGGTCGTAGGGTCTCCGACACCCAACTTGACTAATGCTTGATTGAAGATCTTTCATGGAACTGCTTTGGTGAGTATATTTGCCAACTACTCCTCAGACCGAACAAATGGCAAACAAATGCTTCCATCTTCAAGTTTCTCCTTGATAAAGTGTCTATCAACTTCCACATGTTTAGTCCTATCATGTTGTACTGGTTTTTAGAAATGCTTATAGCTACTCTATTATCACACAGCAGTTTGCAGGGCCTTCCTGGAAGGAAACCTAACTCTATCAATAACTTCTTCAACTAGAGAACTTCAGCTAAACCTCGTGCAATCCTTCGAAACTCTACCTCAGCACTGGAGAGAGCTACCACCTTCTGCTTTTTACTTCTCCAGGTGACTAAGTTACCGCCAACAAGAGTGAAGTACCTTGATGTCGATCTCCTGTCGATCGGATTCCCCGCCCAATCAGCATTAGTGTAGGCTTGTATTTCTAAGTAACCATGCTTCTGGAATAACACTCCTCGTCCCGGTGTTCCTTTCAGATATTTGACAATCCTGAGTGTTGCTTCCATGTGGGCAACCTGTGGCTTGTGCATGAATTGACTAACTACCCCAACTGCATAAGCAATGTCAGGTCTAGTATGTGAGAGATAAATTAGCTTCCCAACTAGCCTTTGATACTGGCCATGATCAGCTAACTCAGCTCCTTCAGTGATCTTGGGATACTGGCCCCATTATCAGCTAACTCAGCTCCTTCAGTGATCTTGAGACCCCATGATTTGACTATCATTGGTTTCAACCGGCTAGCTTCCCAACTAGCCTTTGATACTGGCCATGATCAGCTAACTCAGCTCCTTCAGTGATCTTGAGCCCATGATTGACTATCATTGGGGTTTCAACCGGCTTGCAATCCACTAATCCTGCCTTTGTGAGAAGGTCAAATATATATTTTCTTTGTGAGATGAAAATTCCCCTTTTTGACCTCAAGACTTCGATGCCCAGAAAATATTTTAGTCTCCCAAGATCTTTCATTTCAAATTCTTCGAAGAGCCTCTCTCTCAATGATGCTATTTCCTTTGTGTCATCTCTTGTGATAATCATATCATCCACATATATAATGAGGTAAGTTAATAGCTCTCCTTTCTTCTTGATAAAGAGTGTATGGTCAGAATTACTTTGACATTATCCATATCTTTTCATGGCCATAGTAAATCTCCCAAACCAGGCCCTTGGAGACTGTTTGAGCCCATATAATGCCTTTTTCAGTTTACATCCTTCCCCAGCTTTGAACCCCTTTGTAAAACCTAGAGGAGCTTCCATATAGACTTCTTCTTCTAGGTCACCATGTAAGAAGCCATTTTTCACCTCAAACTGATGTAGTGGCCAATCAAGATTTGCAGCTAATGAGAACAGAATAGGTATTGTATCTATCTTGGCCACAAGAGAGAATGTCTCTAAGTAATCTATGCCTTATACCTTTGGCAACAAGAGAGAATGTCTCTAAGTCTGTGTGTACTCTTTGGCAACAAGTCTAGCCTTATAGCTTTCAATGGTTCCATATGCACGATGCTTTATTGTAAAGACCCATTTGCAACTAACTGGCCTTTTTCCTTCTGGTAACCTGCATTTATCCCAAGTACCATTTTTCTCTAGTGCATCCATTTTAACTTGCATAGCTTGTCTCCACTGTTGGCTATTCTGGGCTTCTTCAACAGTTCTTGGAATATCCTCCGAATATATTGACATTTCAAAGGCCTTTGCAGATTCAGATAAGCTCCCCCAGACTAAGTTTGCCATTGGATGTCTTGAATTTCGAGGCTCATAATCAGGTCATACCTCTTTGTTGGCACTCCCCGATTGCTTCTTGGTGGAAGAACATACCTCTCAATTCTTGGTACCTCTTGGGCTGTCAAATTAGTCATTTCACTAGTAGGTATATCTAAAGGAGCCTCACGAGTAAAGTCACTAACCTCAGGAATATCGGTTGGAGAGGATTCAACATGATCTGATGTAATGGACTGTTCCACATTATCAGAAGCAGATCCGGTGATCTCGCCTACTTGCTCTGTTGGGATAGTTTCAGGCAGTATTGGACTATGTAACCAACTTAGTGGATCATTTCTAGAACTCTTCCCCTGATCACTAGGTTGGTTGTGAAAATAGTAATCAGTTTCGAGAAAGTCATAGTCCATTGTGGTATACATATGACCAGATTGAGAACCAAAACACCGATATCCTTTTGTATGAATCCCATAGCCAACAAAAACACACTTAACAGCACATGGGTCAAGCTTGGTGCGAGTAACTTTTGGGAGATGAACATAGACTGTACTACCAAAAAATCTTGGAGGTAGAGTTAGGACAAGAGGTATGTTGGTGTATTGAGCCAAGGTGGATATGAGTGTTTTCATATGGAGAATTTTGGTAGGTAAACGGTTCATAAGATAAGTTGCCGTAGAAATAGCTTCAGGCCAATAATACCTAGGTAGTTTGGATTCAATCATGAGGGCTTGGGTGATTTCCAAGAGTATCCGATTTTTTCTTTCTGCCACTCCGTTTTGCTGTGGTGTGTGTGGGTAAGAGGTTTGGTGTATAAGTCCATTGTTCCGGAAAAATGTTTGCATTTTTTGGTTTACATATTCACCCCCATTGTCAGAACGGAGGATTTTTATTTGTTTCTGAAATTGGGTGTGAATTAAGTTGTAAAAAACAACAAACTTATCAAAAAACTTCAGACTTATGTTTCAAAAAGAAAACCCAAGTCATTCTTGTGCAATCATCAATAAATAGAAGGCAATACGAAAAACCATTTTTGCAAGTAACAGGGCCTAGACCCCATACATCAGAATGTACTAATGAAAAAGGGATATCAGTTCTAGTGTCACTAGGCTAGAAAACTTGTCTATGACTCTTTCCTAAGATGCATGTATCATAAGACAACTGATTGAGGAAATAAGTGTTTGAGGTACCCTAAGGAAGGGTGACCCAATCGTCGATGCCACAGCCAAGCCTGTCTATCCACCATCCCATGAGCAAGCATTGTGGTACCTTGTTGGTTCACTTTATTAACATAGTAAAGTCCATGTCTTTCAGTACCACGCCCAATGATCCTCCCCGTCCGAATATCCTGCAAAATGCAAAAAGTAGGATACATCAGAACCACACAATTTAGCTCTTTGGTTACATGACTGACTGACAATAGTTTATATGATAGGGCAGGAACATATAGACAGTTTTCTAATTTAAGTGTTGGTGGAAAATCAATATTGCCTGCTCCCTCAACCGCTACAAGACCACCATCAGCTTTTTGAATTTGTTTTTTTAGGGTTTAGTAGGAGTATGGAAATCTGAAGCATCTGGTGACATAGTGTCAGTAGCTCCACGGTCAAATATCCATTATGTCTCCTTTGAGGGTTTATTTTTAGCAATTAGGCCCATGCTAGGTACCTCTTTGCAATTTTTTGTAGCCAAGGGTACAGAATGAATGTTCTCAAAAAGCTCAGGGTAAATCTGTAAATTTTCCATGCTTCCATATCCAATTGCAACATTATTATGGGTTCTGTGGTCAGTGTCCAAAGAAACAAAGTGTGCAGGGTTAGTTTGTAAAATTTCAAAATTCTGAGTCCCTTTCTTAAATTTACCAGGTGTCTCCACATTAAGAACCCTAGGGTTCCCTTTTTGTGTCTCAGTCGCGTCTCTGCCTCCTCCTTTCTGTGATGGGTTCAGCCTAGGCTCCGACGGTCAAATAATCCGACTTATAGTCTCCTTTGAGAGCGTTGTATTGTTTAGCAAATGTAGGTCCCGCCTTGCTAAGGAACCGTCTTTCTACTAATTCCTTTTTGTAGGTCCAAAGGTTACAGACAATGAATGTTCTCAGAAAAGCTCAGGGTATAATCCATGTCAAATATATGTGTCCAATGCTTCCATATCAATTGCAACCATCTTATTTATGCGTTCTGTGTGTCAGTCGTCCAATAACGGTCACCACAATAGGCTACCGGTGAGTCGATTGTAATAATCTTCAAAAGTTCTGTAGTACGCCTTTTCTTAAATAGGTTTACACAGGTAGTGTCATCCACATTATCAAAGCCCTAAGGTTCCCTTTCTCTGCCATGCTTCTAGTCGCGATAGTCTGACCTCTCTTTCTGTGTATATGCCTCCACCGCAGATGCGCAATATTCCGACTCAAAATCATGAGGCTGGACTGGCTCGGCCTTAGTGATACGGTGGCTACCCAAGTAGATCCCCCACTCGATGGGCGTGTAGGATGAACTCTACAATTGCTCCTTATCTTGTGCATAGTTATGGCAAACAGCACATCAAGTTGATAACCCAATATGTTTAGCAACACACACTGCTTCGTTTGACCATTGAACTCCTCTTCGCTACTGGCAGAACGATTTTTGTCATCCTATGCCGACGACCACTCTCTACTTCCTATGGCCTCTTCATCCGCGAGTGAGATGATATATTTAGCCGCTATAAAATTGTGCATGTACTATAGACCAAGCGTATCTTCGCCCGCCTAGAAGTAGGATCCGCTCCTATTTATTACACTGAGCCTCCCGCCGGAGTGAAGATTTGGCCCCTATCTTGGCCGTGTCTAACCGGCTTCTGGTGAAGAGGCCGCTCCTTATTCCTGAGAGTTTAACCCCGATGATGGCTCCCCTTTCATGATCTCTCTCCGGGCTATTTCTCTTCTGATCATCGCATGCGCTTCTTCCACCATTGGTAGAGGATCTCGATTCAGGAGATCTCTTATGTCCTTGTCATACCCATCATTTATCCCTACAAGGAATTGATACGATCTATTCCTTTGCATTAGCCCATTGTAGATCGAGATATCCTTAGAGCATTTTATAGGATTTGGCGTTCTTCTGTCAATTTCCTTCCAGATAGCCAGGAGCTTGCTGTAAAAATTCTCGATTGGATCTGAACCTTGCTTCATATTGGCTTTCACAGTCAGATCGAAGATCTGTAGACCATCCTAACCACTACTGTCCATTGCCCCTATTCCCTTCCACAGATCTCTTGCAGTTGGGTAATCAAGATACTGGTTCGCCAAGTGGGATTCTATATTCTCTATGATCCATGTGATTACATTGGAATCTGACTGTGCCCATTTGGGATATTCTGGATCAGTTGTTAGTGGTGGAGGGGCTATAATGTGTCTTAGCCTACCTCTCCCACTGATTGCCAAATACATCAGTCTGGACCATTTGGTATAATTTTGGTTGTTTATTTTTTCTGAAATACTCAATGTTTGACTTGTTGTATTTTCTATGATAGGTTTGGTGTTGTTGATTTGCTGAAACAGTTCCAGTAATTGGCTCACTAGAATAGATTGTTCCATTGATTTTGTTGTAGACGAGCTAACTTTGTCTGATATTTCAGGTAAGTTTCAATGGTAGGTGATGAGCTTAGACAGAAACTGGGTCTAATGACCGAAAGATTGGCTCTGATACCATGATAGCTTTTAGGGTCTTTAATGACGAAAGATTTGGCTCTGATACCATAGATTAGCTTTTAGGGGTTAAAAAAGAATTCTTTTTTCAACTACCTATCAATCTTGTGAATTACAGAGTCGTAAGTTTATATACACAACATATAATTATTATAGAATATTTACCATAATTGCGTTTGATCCTTTCCTTATTTGCTTGATCCAATTTCCTTATTTTTCTGATTATGATCCTTTCCTTATTTGCTTGATCTGATCCTTTCCTTATTTGCCTAATCCAATTTTCTTATTTCTAATTCTGATTGATTTCCTTATTCTTACAAGTATAA